AGCAGGCAAGAAAAGCTTGGGTTTGCGTAGGGGCCTGGCCTGTGTCCAGGGGCTCTCGGCAGGCCATGTTTCAGCTGCGGGTTTTTCCATCTGCCCTGGAAGGGCTCCTCCATCTCGAGGAAAGGGAGAGGAGAGAAGATTCCTTTGGGGTAGCACCTCCTGAGCTGGTTAACTTGGAGTGAGTGGGGGGAGAGATGTTAAAGCAACCCAAGGCAGAAAAGCCCACCAATTAATTGGTAAGCGCTTTCAGGTTTGCCTGGCCTGGCTGGGAGAAGAGATTGGCTTTCTTGTCAATAAACAAGTCCCCAGTGCAGCATCAAAGCCGCAGTCCTTTATCAATCGCGGCCTCCTCTTCCCGCATGTTCCTGTAACTTACCAAGCATTTATTACATTGATTTTACAATCAGGCTGTTAACCCTCCCGCCCCATCAGCCCTGCTAACCCTTTTGGCCCAACTGTCAGTCAGGCATCTTCCTGCCAATCAAGAGTTCTTGATAATGGAGATGCTCAGATTCATGCTGTATCTCATCTAGGCATGTTTCCTGGGGATCTGGCAAGCTGAATGCTTTTTGTCTTAAAAGCATTTGTGGGGTGCTGTTGTTCCACATTGCATTTTGAAGTCTGCATAGATATTCCCAAAACTCTTCTTGGCAGAAGTACGAGGCTTATGGAGTTTCTTATTTTACCCATTTTTTTTCACCCAATATGCATTTATTTTTGTTTAATTTGGATTGCAGTTGTCAATGCAAAAGGTAGCATTGAGAGGGAGAGAGAATGTCATGTTGTGGGAAGGTGAATATGCAGCCTCAACACAGAAGGATCGGGGATCAATTTAAAGAAAACACGTAGCTAAGGACAAACGTTCAGTGGGAGAGAGCTGGTGCAAGTAAGAGCTCTTACAATGCAGTGCTGAAGTGTCATTTTAGCTAAGGTAAGCAAAGCTGGCTGATTAAGAAGACTGAGCCTTTGGCAACAGGATTATGGTACTCCTCTTTCTTATTCCACTCAGTGCACCAGGTTATTTTTATTGCAGATCAAATCACTGTTTATTCCCCTTGCAACCACAAAGACAGCTGCATATGGCATAGGGTCCAAGGAAGGTGGGGATCAGAAATGCTGTAAGGTAATACTGTGTGTGAACGCTTTGGATCATTACACCATTGTGCCTCCATGTCCTTCCGTAGGCATCCTTGCCACACTTGCTTTGAGAAGTGTTACTTTCTACCTTCACAGGTAGTTGTAAATACTTTTTCTCAAGCTTCACCGGAAGTAAAATAGGACAAAAACCTGCCCAGATACCTTCAAATAGGTATGCCCAGGATCCCAATCTGGTGGTCAGCAGTGTGAGAGATTTGACTTGCTTTTGTCCTGTTCCACTTCTGCTTCCCACATCCCAGGAGTAATGTTTGGGTGTAGGGGAGCGTTACTGCTGAAGCAGAGGTGAAGGCAGACAGAAGACACATCCCCCTGCTCCCTCTAACTGCTGGAGTGCTTTCTGGTGCTAGCGGGGAGAGCTTTCTTTCCTTTGCAGCAGGAGGCTCGCCAGGGCGGGGGAAGGGGCATCAGAAGCTGTAAAATAACGACTAGGCAAAAGCATTAGGGATTGTATTCCCAAAGAGTGTGCAGGAGTAACCCCCAAAAGGAACTGCAGTATTTGGAGGATAGGGGAGAGAGATCCTCTTCTCACCTAGAGGGATCATGTCTATTCTAACATAATGTTATTAATGTTAGTGTATAATATCACAGAAATTCTAAATTTCCATTGTTGTGGATGAAGAGGCACTTGGAAGAAGAGGCATATAAACGTACATGCATCTGACATGCATATAAGTACGTGCATCTGTCATTACATATACATAATTACATAGGAAACAGTATAAAGGGAAAATATGAACACGTAAGGGAAATCAGAAAAAGTATGGATGGCTTCATGTAGTAAGGAAAAATAAACTGGTAGGTAATGAAACCAGGAAAAAAAGAGATAACGTTGAATGTCACTCCATTTTCTTTTGCTTGAACGAATTCAGGTACTTCATTCAGTGCTGCTGTGGCACGTCACCTGCTTTGCAACTGATCAGGTCGTCTCCGACAAATTTTCAGTTCTCTTTATACCTTTTCTCCTCTTTCTCCAGTTGTTCAAGTACCAGTTGCATGTCTGTGCCACAGTGAGTCCCCAGGCACTGGCACAGTTGTGTGCAGCGTGTGCCAGGCAGGTGGATGCGCGGGGGAAAGGGCTGTTGGCTGTGTTACAGGCACGCTGCTCTGCAGGAGCTCGCCAGGGTCTTCCATGTCTCATGGACTCAAATTGAGCTAGAGAGTACTGAAAACACTTTCAAACTACAATTGTAATATTTAATGTTTAGATAGCAGTGTAGGTTGTCAAAACACTAATAGTCTCTGTTGAAAGAGACCAAGGGCGGCAGCAGGCTGCTTATGTGACTGGAGTCTTTGAAGGGAGAGACCTTAAACCCCCAAGGTGTCAGCTGGTATGTACAAAAGTCTGCTGTGTGCAAATGGGTGTGGGGGGGTCTTGTCTGATAGTCTGGTCTAGCCAGAGCTCCAGCACTGTGTACTGCTTGGAGTATTTAATGAGCTGAAGCAGCAACTACTTGGAGGATGCTCAGGTAAGAGCAGCTTTGAGAAAGCTGTGGTAAATGAGAGAGGTTTAAAGAAAGACTTAAAATAATTTGTATAACTTTAAGTATATTATTTAGAGTAAATCCCACTGAGTCAGTTTAAGAGTAACAGCATATTGTTAAATTAAAACCTGCCCTGCCCCACAAACCCTTATACTGAGTATCAGCAAAAACTCTCCCCAAGCGTGTATTTGGTTTTGGAATAGTCTGACAAGCAAAGTGGTGCTTGTGTTTAGTTGGTAGAAGATAAAATACTGTGGAAAAAGTCCTATGTGCCATTGATGACGATGGGTCTAGAGCGTGAGTCTTTCATTGTCTCTTGGTTCACAGATTGTAGAAACATGGAGAAGTTGGCCTCTGCTTGTGCAGTTTTTCCTCAGTTGTTTTCTGTAGATGTTTTGTATCTGTATACCTAAGGAAATCTGTGGACCACAGGTTAAAAATTACTTTTTACAGATGACTTAATAGTGCTTTAATTTTTGCTGGTGTTTCCTCCTGTGTGGCTTGCACAGGAGCTCTCTATAGGAAGCAGACTATAGAAAGGCTTCTTTGCAGTCAGGATTCTTGGTAAGTTTGCAGCTGAACTGGCAATCTCCTGCTGATCGTGGTCTGCATTACAATGCTCCAGCTCCTAACGGTAGCAGTACCTAATCTCATAGGTCTGTAACATCTAGAAAGGCGCATCCTGCCAAACCGTTAGGATGCTGGTGGGATGCAGCAAACAGGGTAGAGGTGGTGGGGAGCTGTGGATGTCGTCCATGCTCGCTGGCTGCCTGGCAGTCAGTGGGAGTTCTCCAGGTCTCGTTGTATTTGGTGGAATAGAAATAACGGGAAGGGTGTCCTTCCTTCTCCTCTAGGACCTGCGTTGGCCATTTGCCTCTGGGGATGATAGAAGGTCGTCTGTGTGCAGAGGCTGTGCCCTGCAGGATCTCTGGGAGCTTCCTGGAGCGTGGTGGGCTGACCGCTTTCTGATCCCCAGGACGGACCCTTGTCAGATGTGGAATTTCCTGTTTGGTTTCTCTCCTGATGTCTCTCTGTTTAAACTCTGTCCAGAACACAGCAATTAAATCTCCTGTGCATACCAAACACTGTTACTCTGAAATCTCTGTGGGTTGCTCTGGGTCTCATGGTCTACCACAGAGGTGCACATGTGGTAGCTCTGGTTCTGTGCTCCCTGAAACGCTA